AATGAGATTACTTTGTTGACCAAAAGTGATCTTGATAAATATTAAACAAATAAGGAAAGTGTGGAGTACACACTTGTTTAAATTTGATCAAGTATCAAAGTACAGTGTTATTTAGGGGCGAAGCCCCTGAACGAACAGGGGTCTGGGGGCAGCGCCCCTGGGAGCGGGGTCCAATGGACGGCAGCCCCTGGCGGGAGCCCCTGGCTGGGATCGAGCTGAAAATCCGAATTTTTAGAGAATTGACCCATTTTAATTTTATTCAAAATACCCGTTTTATGACCGTTTTGGTGGTTTTGTGACAGTTTTAAACTGTCATATGCCAGTTTTTAGACAAGGATCTAAAAGTTAGTTTTTGTCTCTTTTTCTGGTACTCACGAAATTATACACTCTCATTCTCTTTCTTTCTCTCTGAATTTTCTGAGTCTTATCCAATTGGAGATTTGGAAGTACCACCCAAATACTTCGATTTGATAGTGATAATCACGATTCTTAGATTTCCAAGTGTCATTAAATCCATATTTCTAACATAGCATTCAAATCCACGATGTTGTTTAAGAAAAACTTTATGCTAAAGATCTCCATGAAACACTGTCTTCACATCCATTTGGTAAAATTCATATTAGAAACATATGCCAAGAAGAATCTAATGGGTTCCATTCTAGCTACCGGAGCAACGGTATTGATAGATGTATTTTATTTATTTATTTTCGTAGTTTACTTTAGTATATTTTAATTTATTTTTATTTAACCATCATGTATTATTTTGAAGTTGATGCTCATCGCCTCTGTTGAACTACCACCTTTGTTGATCGATTTCGATGCTCACCACCAAATCAATTATCAATGGTCAACACCTCATCATGATCAATGCTCGTTTCTCATCTTGATTGATTATCGATTTTGAAGTTGAATATTTGATATTATTAATGGAAAAATATATATAGGGAACATTGCTAAACTTATACGAGAAAGATAGAAGATAGCGACTAAAAAGAGTATTACGGGATCATCATATCCATTTTTCAAAATTAAAGTCTGATAAAATAGCCAACATACCCTGAAACATATGTCATTTGGTTTTAAATTGATTAAATATTATCAAAATTACTAACTTTATTTATATACGTTGATTAATTGATCTAAGCATCAAGACATTGGTTCTATAGTTAGAAATCGGGTATCGCACCATTTCACCTCCTTTTATTTTGAGGAGCTGGCGTGGCTTGCCACGTTAAGTGGTAACTCGGCGAAAACCGGCATTTTTGGCGTATTTAAGCTTTTAAGTTAAAAAATTGTATTTAAGGTCAAACCAATAAAAACCAACAAATTTAAGGATTTTTATAATGATATACCTAAATTAAAACGCTCAGTTTGCTATTTTTTTGGGGTTTTTCTTTTCGAATAGCCACTTATTAATTTCTTAGTTAACCATTTTGAACATAATAAAAAATCCAACAACAAAGCACCAAAAATGTCATCTTAATGTTCGACACATTCAAACATCCTATATCCTATATACAAATAAAGTAATAAACAATCAAATCAAACCCATCAAGTGATGTAATCCCAAATATAACCAAAGAACGAGTCGAGGCATCTTGGACGGACGAACCAACCTACCACAAAAGGTCAATGTCAAACCATGTTTGCACCCAAATTAATTATTAACAAAAAAAAAAAAAAAAAAAAAAAAAAAAAAAAGAAAGAAAGAAAGAACGAAGGATGAGCCAGAACATCATGTAAGGCCTATGAGCCGAAACATATCGTGATTCTTGTCATCCAACGTCTTTTACAAATTGATTACATGTGGTACTACAATTACTATACATTATAAAATATACAATAAAACTTAATTCATCCTGTTATGTAGCATCCTAGTTTTATTTAAATTATATAGATTATTAAAGATTATAAGTATAACTAAATAATTAAAATTGATAGTGTAAATAAAAATACTACAATAACTTAATGTGTTGACAAAAGATCAAGATTTAGAAATAGACAGATATGTGTCCCACCGACAAAATGTTAAAGGTTCAAGTCCTGTTGTGTACTAAATATCTAGACTTAAAACTAGATTATTAGATTATTGTATGGTAAGTCGTTTTAAACAAATCAACTCTGCATATTTTTAACGAGATGGATTCTAGTTTTGATATTTGCAGCACTTTGGGCCAACTTTGAAAAACAGATCATTTGCAACAACACCCTAAATAATAATAAAAAAAGACGTTTTCAGTTTTTACAAACCAAATAACAAAATAAGTGACGGTGCAGATTCTTTAGCTTATATTCCAAACCCAGTAAAGACAAATACCTTGGAATATTCGAAATTAAGTCAATTTGCTTAAAATAATCTAAATAATAATTTTTTATTTTGATAGATTTTAATTACTTATAGTCTCCCCTTAAGCTTATGCCCTCTAGAGCAACATGAATCCATTGACTAATAACGAAAGTGTTATGCTATCAGAGTCGTTGGAAACTTACATAACAGATTCTTTTGTGATTTCTGAAAATTTATAGTTTTTTGGTCAGTTTTGATCCAAGTTTTGAAAAATCAATACAGGTAGTCCCCATGGTTTCAGAATTTATCGTGGGTGGTCCTTTTGCTTAAAACCAGTAAAGTTTTATTGGAAAGTCATTTGTAAGAAAAAAAAAAAACTTTTGTCATTAGACTATATATAACATAACTTCAGGGACCAAAGTTAAAATTACTGCAAAATTTTGTTAAGAAGAAGAAAAAAGGATAACGTCATGACAAGAATAAAAAAAAAATTAGTAAAGTTTTGGTTTAGGTTATTTTTAGCGGGTGTTTGGATAAATAGTTTTTAGTTTATTAGCTTATTGCTTATTTGTTTATTGATGTGGGAATAAACATTTGTTTAAAATGTGTTTGGATTAGCTTATTGCGGTGAGAATAAGCAATAAGCATTTTAAGTGTTTGACAAACAAAACAGTTTATATGAGTAAAATGACCAATAAGCAATAAGCATTCCCCCCCTTGCTTATTAAAATCAGCTTATTTGCCTTATTTCTACCGCAATAAACTGATTTTTAACGACTCATATCCAAACACTTAAATTTGCTTATTGCGGTGGGATTAAGCAATAAGCAATAAGCAGCCTACTTTTTCTCTATCCAAAACACCCCCTTAGTCATTGGATTTTTTTGGATGTTTTATTTTGGTCATTATACTTTGTTTAAGTTATCATTGGTCATTGAACTTGTTTATTTTGTTCATTTTGGTCAATCTAACCGAAGATAAGAGGTATAAAAAATCTAACGGCAATGTCAATGTTATAATTAGTCATTGAATTTTTCTGAGTGTTTTATTTTAATCATTGTAATAATGTTTAAGCTACCATTTGTCACTGAATTCTTTTGTTTTTTTTTTATTTTAGTCACTCTAATTATATGAGTAAAATTATATGAATAATCATTGTGATTTGCGGTGGGGTGCACATTTAATCCTTAACTTTTATAACTCGAACGCTCCCAATAATATTAAAAGAAGACTGTTGTGATTTACGGTAGGATGCACATTTAGTCACAAGGATTATTCATAGGGCTGTTCAGTATTTGGATAAAACCAAATTGTCCAATTGGACAATTTGGATTGGACTATTTGGTTCGGATATTCGGATTTTTGGATTGGTTTTCGACAAAACCGAATTATTATTTTGGATTTCGGATTGACTCTGGTTTATAAAATATGAACCGAATAGTCCAAAAAAACCGAATAACAGTTTATTATTTATTTATTTTTAATATATATCTATAATTATTTATTAGTAATTTTGTAATTTATTTTTTGAAATAGGTTCAAAAAGTTTCACCTAATTTAAAAATATTAATATGCATTTTCTCTTAAAAGTTTTTTATCTATAAAATATTAAAATATAATATACCTTCATAATAGTTGCTTATAATTTCAAATCGTAACTAAATAATTTGTTTTTTCTTCTTGTGTAAAATTCGGTAATATTATAATTATATTTCGTTTTAAAATGTTTTAGCTTTTAAAAACCGAATTATAAAAACCGATCCAACCGAATTGTAATTGGATCGGATCAGATCGGATTTGAATTTAGTTTGGACTATCTGGATCCATGTTTTGAAAACCGAAATCAATTTGGATTCACTTGATTGGATTGGATCAAACCGATCCATCCAAACGAACACCGCTAATTATTCATATAATTTACTCTCAAGTAATTGATGTAACAAATTTAGTTGTGGAGAAATGAAAAAAAAAATTGTAGTTTTTTTAATTTTTTATAAATGATAATAAAAAAAATAGAATGACTAAAATGAAAAAAATAAAAAAGTTTAGTGACCAATGATAGTTTAAACAAAGTATAATGACTAAAATAAAACATCAAAAAAAAAGTTCAATGACTAATTATAACCTTGACAATGTTATATACCGGCTATCACCCGTTAGAGTGACCAAAATGACCAAAAATAAACAAGTTCATGACCAATGGTAGTTTAAACAAAATATAATGACCAAAATAAAACACTCAGAAAAGTTCAATGACTATTTGAAAGAAAAAAAAAATCATTGAATCTTTCGTAATACGATATTTCATTTAGCTTTTTATAAGATGTTTGTATGTTGTATTTAGCTAGAATTGGTTAAGAAATATGGAACCCACAAAATCATTGAAAAAGTGTTCGGAAAAATCTTTGTTAATTAACATGCAACTTGAAAAACTTTGATATGAAAAATGTCCTCTTATAGTTTTTTCAAACTTTCAAAGAGTTTTGTGTTTGAAAAAACTCTTATAGTTAAAGAACCCCATGACTAACTAAGTGGTTATCCAGCTACTTAAACTCCTAACTACAATTAGTAATTTTAATCTCTTTTTATATTTTCTAAATATGTTCCTTAAGCCATCAGAAAGATACTGCAAGTGGTTTGAGGTCAATCGGATTAAGTAATTTTAATCTTATTCACATTGTGTGTATGTTGCTTTATTGTATCTGTCAAATTATCAAAACCCGTGTTTAGCAATTTTTAATCCGCTACTATTTTTTCAATACATTCCATCAGAATCAAGCCAAGAAATTAGAAACCAAAACCATAATTACATAGCATTCGATCACAATCAATGCAAAAAAGATGACACGTACATGTTGATAAACTTCATTTCAAAAGATTAAAAACTTGTCTTTTTAGATTGGTCGATGATGTAGCCCTCTCATATATATAACCCAATGCATATTCTCATCATACTGTGAGCACTTCCTGTAAGCGAATGAAACAGTGTCAAGGTTTTGCTCATAAGCTTCCATACAAGCTCAATGAAGCAATCATATAAAATTCTTTGTAGTGCTTCATAGTGTAAAAGAAGAAAAAAAAGTGTTACCTTTTCTTTCTGTTTGAAGATGGATTCAATCTTCTTCATATACTCATCGGTAACTTTCTGAAAGATAAAAAAAAAAAAAAAAAAAAGCGTGAGAATAAACAATTGTTATAATGGTGTTGTAAAAGATCATGGCCTATGTTAGTTTCCACCATAGATTTATTTGATTTGAGGTTGAATGAGTTCTTTAGCCACTTTGTTCATGGGTCAAACAGTTTAAATACCTGCAAATCAGCCGATAAATCCTTTACATTATCTTCTGAGAGTTTTTTCTCCTGCAAATCATAAAATAATGGTTAAAAGGTGGAAGATAAAGAAACCTCTGCACAAGTGAGAATCTTTAAAGCCTAAACCTTTTCAAGTTTGTCATACGATTTAATTGCATCTCTTCTTATGTTTCTGATAGCTACCTACATAACAAATGAATAAAATAAGATCAATAAGACTTTTGAACAAAAACAAGACTTTTGAGCAAAATTACTAAAAACCCTACCTTCCCATCCTCAGCCTGCTTAGCAACAATTTTTGACAACTCCTGTAACAGAAAGCATGATTGAATGATAAAGATTTGGAAACATATAGTCAAGGTGTGTAATAATCAGTTATGGGTATGATAAAGGGCTCACCTTTCTCCTTTCTGATGTGAGCTGTGGAATGGATAATCTTATCACTTCACCATCATTGTTTGGAGTCAAACCAAGATCAGAGTTGACTATGGCCTTCTCAATAGACTTTAAGCTGAAAAAAATGTCATGCATTAAGTGCTGTCTGAATAAATGAGGGAGTATTTACAAAAAGATAGGACTTAATCAGGAGAGTCTTCTTTACTAGACTTTTCTTTCTGCATTAAGTCAAACGAATCACCCATATATAGCTTACTTGTCCCAATTAAGTCCATTAAGCCAAAAAAAAATTAATAAACTGAATAACACTTATTAGATCATGTACCTTGATTTGTCATAAGGCTGCACTAAGAGAGAGCTTGAATCTGGAGTGCTGATTTGGGCGATTGTTTTCAAATTGACTGGTGAACCATAGTACTCAACCTAAAAGAAGACTAAAATCATAAAACAGAACACCAAAACAGTTGTAATAAAAAGAAAGAGGGAATCTAAAAAGTGGATGAAAGTTACAAATTTATTAATGATATTTTGTAGGGGTGAAAACCAACAAATAATAATTAAAACTGAAATCAGTAAGGCATCTCTAACCTCGACTTTATCAAGCATTGCTGGATTTGAACGTCCAGTCCTTATAGAATTAAAATTTGATAACACACTGTCAATAGCCTTGTCCATCCTTTCTCTCTAAAAACACACCAACAAATGAAATGCAATCAATATTTGAACTCATATTCTTAATACCTGTGAAGTTATATAAGGGAATGCATAGACTTTGTTACTCAACTTACAGCATTCTTTTCGATCAGAGATTTTTCAGCCTCGATTTCTTCCATGGTGGCACACTTGATGATTGGATCCCTGTAATAACCACTTTTGATGGTGTGAATGTTTCACAAATTCTGATTATTTCAGTAATAGATTCAAAACACCCCCCGACTCGACAAACCCAAAGGGCAAAGCACCATGAATAAGTGAACAACCTCTAAACAGACTAAAATCATGGTAATGTGTGAATAGTAGCGCCCAATCAATGGTTTACGAAGTAACCTCATGAATTCAGAATAAATAACAAGCACAACAAGTAAGAAAAAGCATAAAATTAAGTGCCAATAAACTTGCCTCTTCTTTGGCAACCCTTTTACAACAAGAGCAACCTTTGCTTGAAGTTTCACATAACTCGCAGAAGAGCTCCATGACAACTTATTTCCTGAGACAAATTTGCAATTCATGGAACAATAAGCTTCATTTTACTAACAGTTGCACAGCCCAAATATAGAAGACTTTTAGGGACCTTGAAGAGAGAGGAGTGTTTTGGGAGGGCTTATTCTGGGTTGTCGGTAAATGGAGCGTACGGATGACGTAGCGGGTGACAATGACGACATCGCCATTTTTATCTGAAAATGAAGCTTGAAATCCTTCGAATCAGAGGAAGGGGCAAGGGCCTTTGGATTATATAGTCTTCATTGAAGACCGGAGATGATTTTTGTGGATAAGAGGAAGAGGCTGTAGCTGTATGAAGTAAAAATAACCAGTCAAAATTTACAGCGACTGGTCCTCCGTTTTCGTCCCTTTCCCTAATCCCTCACCAAGAGGCTCGAACATGAACTGGACTATTTGGATTTGGGCTTCCGCTGCGTTGTATCTTGTATCCGAATTCGAATCGGGCCGATTCGAGCGGGGTAGGAAAAAGAAAAATCGGGTTGTGAACGATTTGGGTTGGACCGTTTTCATTTGTTTAACCAGTTTTGGAAAATTGGGAGTGTAATGTATTATATTATGTTACAACTTTTTTATATGTTTGTCTTGACTCTAAGAATATGAGAAATCAACCATCGATGGAGTAGCAGTCGATGGGCTTGAGTGACTCAATTGAACTATTCGGCCTTGAGTCAAGATCGAGTTAAACGAGCTCGAGTTTAATTTAGAGCTCATTGATTAAATGAGCTTGAGTCTGACTATCTATAGATATGTTTCGGTTTCGGTTCCGGTTCCGAAATTTCAATAACCACCGATTTTGGTTTCAAATAAATAGAACAGATACCTGTCTTATCTCGATGTGTGGGTATAGTTTTTTTAAACATTAATGATTGATATTTTCATTTATCGTATCTAATCTTTCAACAAAATCCTTAATAATAAAGTATACACTAATCAAGCTATTTGGTTTTTTATATTGATTTTTTACAATTTGTTTTCAAGTTTTTATTTTAAATTTTTTATTAACTTCATTTTTTTTATAATGTAATTATGTTGTACAGCTTTTTTTTATATTGTCTTTTATAATTGTCTAATAACAAGAGTACTTGTTTTTTTTTTGTTTATGGGAAACCCAAGTTAGAAGAAAAAAAAAGTTGTACATATGACCGGTTATACCTGGTAAAAGAGCAAAAGTGAGAAGAATAAAAAAAAGTTGCAAGTTTGCGGCATAAACGAACTAAAATTCATTCAAATGGTAAAACCGACATTCTCAACCAAACATAAGACTTTTTATGACATTATCTCTTATAATAAACCTATTCATCTTAAAACAAATTATACAATCAGACTGTTAAAAGAAAAAAAAAAGATAGAAGTTTTAAATAGACCAAGTTATAAATGTAAAACCATCTGAAAAGATTTTGTTAAAATTGTCCCAATGCACATTACTTATAAATAAATTGTGAAAACCTAGCAATATGTTGTTGGTACCATGATTTAAATCGTGGACCTTCGATGTATGATTCATCATCCCAACCTAACTATCATCAAGAAGACATAAGTTTAAAATTATAAAAACAATGTAAAAACAAAATTGTATATAAAAAAGGTTAAAAAACAAAGTAAAAATTATATAAAGATGAAATGAAAAAATGTAAAAACAAAGTTATAAAAAGTATTTAGATGAAAGTTTTAAAAAACATTAAAAATAACAAATTATGAAAAAACATAAAAAAATTTCGACAAAAACAAATACATAAGTAGATTTGTAACAAAAGTTAAAGTTTGAAGCAATTTAATAAAATAAAAATAAAAATAAAGGTGTAACCTCAAAAACCACCTCGAAAAACTTGTCTTGCATACATAATATAATAATGACCATGTGTCTTCTGAATTCTAGAAATAAACACGTTTTTCAAATAATTGTTTATTTGAATTTTTTTTTTCTTTCTCCTATCGAATGTTTTAAAAACTGATTTGAAACAGTCGGTTGGACCTGAAACAGTTCAACTAGCATCGATTTTATGTCTATTAATTTTTTAATCGGAACGACCCGGTTGGTTTTACAAACTCAGTTGAACCGGTTAAAATGAATAAAAACACATTAGTTGATGTACTTATGGTTATGTGTTTTTAATGTATTTTGATTATTGAACGTCCGTATATTCGGGCTAGACGTTTAAGGTATAATAATAATTATTATACATTTAATCGAATAAATAAAATCACTGAATAGGATAATCGTGTTTCGTAGGCGTTACGGGCAATTAATTAATTATCGTTTGCACGATATGTAAACAAATATTATTAGTGTATAATATTTGCAGAAAGCCTTAATACAAAATTTATGGTTAAAATAAGCATTAAAAATAAAAGATTATTTAGGATAAATAATCCTAACAAGAGTTGCAGTATTTGTAATGATAATCTCGTGGATATAAAGAACGCTCAAATCTAACTTCGTATGAGAAAGTTATGATGTATATAAGCTTCGCATTCAAATCGATAAGACAAGGTGCGTTATAAAAAATGTGAACCAGATATAAGTTGCTTTTTGGCTAAAGTGATGTAAATGAAAGTCGAATCACTTGTCAATAGGAGCGCATCGATATAAAGAACGCAAAAATCTGACTTCGTATAAGGAAGTTATGATTTTTCAAAGGCTCGAGTGCAACACAATACAACAGTGTGTGACAAAGAAATCGAAATCGAAATATGTTGATTGTTAGACGAAAAAATCTAAATGAAAGTTGTAGTACTCTTCAATATGAAGTGAACTATATAATGAACGTTGAAAACAGAGATCGTATGAATAAGTTATGAATTTTGCAGTGTTATTTATAATCTAAGCCTTCTCGGACCGTAAAACGTTTAAAATAAAGTGAAAATTAGCCGACGGAGTCTAAATAAAATTTGTAGCAAAATAAAGTGAAAATTAGTCGATATCTACACGTGGATATAAAGACCATCGAAAATGGATTCTGTATGCGAAAGATACATTTTTTAGCAAAATATTAAAATTCGACCGACCAGAAGCCGACACGCGGCACAATCAGAGGGTGACACGTGTCACGATCTCAGGCCACCCTTCCTCCCCACGTTTTGCACCCAGAACACGCCATGTGTACATGAAGTGGCACGCCCTATAAATTTTCCTATAAATATATTTGTTTTCTTGCATGTTTTGGAGCCAATTCCTTTCCAATTACTCCCAAACTTTCCCTAGGCCCGAATCTAATAGCTCTTAGGTGTTACTAGCGAAGCTCTGGAGCGCCAGAGCGCCCCTAGAAATTGACCTTTCGGTTTAGAAATTATGCACGCGTAATGTTTGGTTTTTCGCCAAACAACATGTAAGTTGAGTTATCCTTACCGTGCTTTAAGTATATGTAACAACCCAAAACCATAATAAAATTTTTGTTTTTTTTAAAACAAATACTACAGATATAAAAATTGTTCCAAAACCATCACAATGTATAAATGTCACATCATCATAGTACAATATCAAAAATGCAGAAATAACGGAAGAGAATGTTGTGACATCACGTCGGGCCCTTCCCCTTAGTACCGGAAGTACCTGAAATCATAAACACAAACTATAAGCAAACGCTTAGTGAGTTTCCCCCAAGGTACCACATACCAACATACAAATTAATGCTATGGGCCAAATCATAGCCTTACATATAATTCTTGCCGAGGGCCAAATCTCGGCCTTCCATACAATTGTCGGGGGCCAAATCATGGTCTTTCATGCAACTGTCAGGGGCCAGATCCTGGTCTTTCATATACGTGTCAGGGGCCACATCCTGGTATTACATATAATTGTCAGGGGCCAAACTCTGGTCTTTCATACACATATCACACAAATAATTTGTATCCTATAATACAAATAATGGGTCGGCCTTGGTGCCTTCGTCCCATTGATACAGTGAGAAAACTCACCTCAGTCTGCTGGAAACAACAAGATGCTCGGGTGCTGAACAGGAAAGTCCTACACTAACACAAACAAATAGCCCTAATCAGAATTAGGTCATAATCCCAAATCATGGGCCTAAGCCCTAAGTCCAAACTCCTGAGATAAGGGCTTATTTGCCTTTCCCACAATGGGCCTAACCATTCTTGGCCTAAACACGATAACGGGCTCCAAGGCCCAAAAGGCCCAACTACACCACATAAGGCCCATTAGCAGAAGTCAAACACCCACATACTCTAAATAGGTCAAAGCCCAAAACCGACTAAGGCCCAATGATCCAAAATCCCAACAAAAGTCCAAAAGCCCATTGGAGGCGTACGCGCGACGTATTCTCAGTACGCCCGACGTACTCGACCGCATGCAGTACGCGTTGCATACATCCTGGTACGCTCAACGTACCGAGCTGCTTATCACCTTTAGTCATTTGGTGCTTAATCCTTACAGCCACTTAATCTAACTTCTAGTTCTCAGTCATTAAGGGGGTCCTAAGGCATGAAGTTGGCAACTTTATGCCTTAGCATGTCTTATGGGAGTCCAATATTCATTTTTGTTCATCAAAGCTCACATTAAGGACCTAGATTCATGCATGGTTTCATATCAACCATCAAGATAACATTTTTATGCCTCAAACATATCATAGGGACTAAGATCTAGTATTTCTAGCTTCTGGAGTTGACCAAACTCAGAAAAGAGAATCCATGGACCCAAATGAGCTCATAAACAAACCTTAAACTCTAACTATCAAAAGGATCAACAAGGTATGAGCTTTTTACCTTCAACAGCTTCGTAAGACGATGTAGATTCAGGATCTTAAAGCTCAACAACGTCCAAAGCTTGATCACCAAGTTCTTCTTGCAAACACACCAAAAAGGCCAATAAAGTTACTTCCAAGCTCAAAGATCACTCTCAATGGCAAACTAGGGTTTTAGGGACGTTAGTAGCAGTGGAGGCTGATAAGGGTGAGGGTCCAAAGGTCATAAGCGTGCTTAAATAGGGCTCATGCCCTAAAATTAGGGTTTTAACTTTGGCTATGTACTCCCCGCGTACGTGGCTCAGATTCCCAATCCATCATTCCCATGTACGCTAAGCGTACCAAGACGTACGCGCAGCGTACAAGGGGACCTCTTTTGAAAATAAATTTTTGTTTCAAGGACTAAAAAGGAAAATACCTAGACTCGAGTGTTACACATCTCCCCCACTTGAATTAGACTTCGTCCTCGAAGTCTGCTGCCGTAAACAAATCCGGGTAGTGATCCCTCATCTCTTCCTCCGGCTCCCACGTCCACTCAGAGCCCTTTCGGTGTTTCCATTGCACCTTCATCATATTCACCACCTTTTTACGCAAAGTTTTAGTTTTCTTGTCAAGAATTGCAATGGGCCTCTCCA